GGAAGAGGTGGCAGCGGCGGCGGGGAGGAGGAGGAAGAGGAAGCTGCGGCGGCGGGGAGAAGGAAGAGGCGGCAGCGGCGGCGGGGAGGAGGAGGAAGAGGAAGCTGCGGCGGCGGGGAGAAGGAAGAGGCGGCAGCGGCGGCGGGGAGGAGGAGGAAGAGGAAGCTGCGGCGGCGGGGAGAAGGAAGAGGCGGCAGCGGCGGCGGGGAGGAGGAGGAAGAGGAAGCTGCGGCGGCGAGGAGGAGGAAGAGGCGGCAGCGGCGGCGGGGAGGAGGAGGAAGAGGAAGCTGTGGCGGCGGCGGGAAGGAAGAGGCAGCAGCGGCGGCGACGGGGAGGAAGAGGAAGCTGCGGCGGCGGGGAGGAGGAAGAGGCTGCAGCGGCGGCGGGGAGGAGGAGGAAGAGGCGGTAGCGGCGGCGACGGGCGCGTGGCAAGTGTGACAATAGTCCGTGATGGATGGCGGGCTAATAACTGGCATCGTGAGCGAGCAGCGCAATATCATATTAAAAACTCTCCGTCACTAACTCACTTACCTGCCCCCTCCCCCCCCCCTCTCTCTCTCTCTCTCTCTCTCTCTCTCTCTCTCTCTCTCTCTCTCTCTCTCTCTCTCTCTCTCTCTCTCTTTCTCTCTTTCTCTCCCCTCTCTCCCTCTCTATTGGTCGATCGGTTTGTCTGGTTGTCTTTTGTGTGTTGTGTTAGGGTGGGGGTTGGAGTTAAGGATGGGGTTGGGTTTAGGCTTAATGTTAGGGTTAGGGTTAGGGTTATGGTTAAGGTTAGGGTTTGAATTAGGGTTAGGGTTAGGGTTAGGGTTATGGTTAAGGTTAGGGTTACAGTTAAGGTGTAGAGATAAGGAAGGTGCTTGAAAGTTTTTTTTATTTTCAACTAAAAACTTCGCTGCTATTTAGTGTCGTTGGTGTCTCGAGTGTGACATCACACGCTAACAGAGCCTTATCACACTCTAATGCCCGTGATGTGATTCTATACCAGGAGTGTCATAATATTAGACTACCTATATTATATCAACAGTCCATAATAAAAAATGTATCTACTATTGTAAATGTTTTCTATTAATTCTATTGTAAATGTATTGTATTATTGTAAATGTTTTTATATCATGGACTCTTAATTATATAGCTATGATGATAGCCTATAACACTTCTGATTCTACCTAGATCTCAATCCCCGCGACAGCAACGAAAATTCGTAGGCGGGATCTTAATCTACCACTCGCGTCGCCGTGGTGCGACATCGTGCCATGACGGCAGTGCGTTTAATATGCGCGCGGCCGCCGCGGCGGTCCCTTTGATGTTATTACCTGTCAAATAAGAAGCTCAATTAAGACCGCTGTCCCCATCAACCATCTTTAAGGCTTCGCCGTCACGACAGTTTCGCCCCGTAAGCCTTGAGGTGAGGCTTGGACTTATAGTGCTTCTTCGTACAGTGATATCTTGTCTCTAACGGTCTCTAATTACTATCCGTGGGTTCTGGTTGCGTAGGCGTTGTCAGGAGCAGTGGTGGGTGGGGTTGATAAACTAACTACTCACGGGGTGGGGCGTGAACGGTGGCGCCCTCCCCCGTGTGAAAGCGAGGAACTATCAGGAATTTATCCCACGGGAACTTTCAAGAAGAAACAAGGTAGAAACGTCACGATGCCTATGTTGGGTAATACTTTTGCGATAAGAATCCCTTATTGTAGATATCCCACAAATACCCTCTTGCGTACTAGTGTATCAAAGCGAGGATTTCTCAAATTCCCTTACCCCCCTCCCCCCTAATTTTAGTACTTACATGCATTCATCGCTTACCAACAATTAGATATCTTCAGAGATAGTATCAGGACCTACTTTCTTCTCTCACTTGCTTTTTTTTATATATATTATCATCTCTGATATATATAAGAGAAATAGCTCTCGCAATATATTTGCCTCTCGCGAGAAACGGCGAGACGACCCCATGACTCCCACGCGCGACTTTTGGGAGGTAAATCTGTTGCCAGGGAAACTGCGGTGTAAACTACGGGTAATACGTTACGTCGTCCCGTGATTGCGCTGCAGGGGGAACGGGATCTATTAGCGTCATAAACTTGACACGCCCGTGCGCAAACTGTGTTGTGCTCCAGTCCCGTTTGATCATTTACGTCTCTCTCTCTCTCTCTTTCTCTCCGTCTCTCTCTCTCTCCGTCTCTTTCTCTCACCGTCTCTCTCTCTCTCTCTCTCTCTCTCTCGCGCGCGCTCTCTCTCTCCCCCTCTCACTCTCTCTTTTTCTCTCTCTCCGTCTCTCTCTCTCTCTCTCCCTCTCACTCTCTCTCTCTCTCTCTCTCTCTCTCTCTCTCTCTCTCTCTCTCTCTCTGGCTTATTTCCCTTGCTTCCCCGCTCCTTCACCACCACCCTTCCTCTCTCCCCTCGCTCTCCCTCTTTCTCCCTGCCTCCTTCGCTCCCTTCCTTCCTTCTCCCTCCCACACACCACATACGTACATATGCACGCACGCACGCACGCACGCACGCACGCACGTACACACACGCACGCACACACACGCACACACGCACGCGCGCACGCACCGCCAACAGCTGCAAACCCCTGATTACCAGTGAGGAGATGCTGTGCTCCCGTGATAGACTACGCCAACATTTAATGTTCGTCACGTAATGCTTGAAATCAATGTTGACGACGAATTTTAACGTTGCGCGCATGCGTCCGTCGGGCCTCTGTTAAATACGACATTTAATCATCTAACCTTGTGTGACTTGCGTGTGGCGAGAAATATCGTAAAATACATTGCATCCAAAACTTCATATTTTACGTGTAGGTGACAAAAGGACGATCGTACTGTAGATCGTTTCTTCTCTCATTTATCGAGCCACCCTCCCTCTACTCAGTGGCGCTATCGCATTCTACCTCCCCCTCTCTCTCTCTCTCTCTCTACCTCCCACTTTCCGTTGCACCTTCCCCCATCCCCCTTCTCCCTCTTTCTGTGTTCAAATTCAGTTCGGATTCTGTTCTCTCTGTGTGCTGTTCAGCACATATTCTTCTATAATCTTAGTATTTTGTCATTCACTCCCCCCCTCTCTCTCTCTTCTGTAGGATGCACCAGCATAATATCAAGCTGGACAAGCAGCAGAAGAAGGCAGAGAACCGCGTGCGAGGCAGCAGCGACGATGACGGCGGCGGCGGCGGCGGCGGCGGCGGGGACGTCGTCGTCACGGAGTACGAGAGCAGGTTTGGCTTCCCGATCACCACCTGCTGCGGCTACCTGCCGCAGGACAACACCTGGTGCTACGACTGGGTGGTATGTACGGCACGCACGCACACACGCACGCACGCACGCACGATGCACGCACGCACGCGCACACGCACGCACGTACGAACGAACGCGTGTTTGTGCTGTGTGTACGCACACACACGCATATACACACGCGCACGCACGCACGTACACACACGTATACGACATGCTGCAGGCACACTGCTGTTGTTACGCCTGCTGACACGTACTATGTATTTTCACGTACGCACGCGCGTAATAAACTCTCATATTATTATCCTGATATTACCAGCTAAGCTTGCAGTATCAAGCCCTTACAATACGTGAGCGTACTCTCGTACACACTGTGTGCATACGTGTAGGTGCGGTATGAACATGAGCGTAATAATATAGACTCTAATATAGATAATTATAAGATAATGACATGATAATATAGATAATAATATACACTCTCTATATTATGACGCTCCTGGTATGATGTTATCAGAAGTGAATATTAATAGATTGGGAATCTATTGTTATTCGCTCCTGATATGACGTTATCTATTGAACCGTGGTTAGGTAGAGACTAGGTGGTGCGTATAGGCTTGGCCTAAGCGTTAGGTCTATAAAATGACCTATGTTATTATGTACAGCGGAGTGTATACAGCGTGGTGGATTCAACTTAAACTCACGAGTGTGCCCTTTAATCTACGATAATTGTGAGTCTTCGCGCCATATACTAATCACCCGTGATACTGTGGACATTACAAGAACGACTCGGGAATGGCTCGTGGCAGATTCTTCTCTATATGAATGTAATAATGGCAACACCACTACATAAACAACGGGCCCCTGCTGCGGCAACGAAGCAGCAGCAGCAGCAAATACTGGCCCCTGCTGCAGCGCGCCCCTACAGCGCGCCCCTGCAGCAGCAAAGCAGCAGCAGCAGGAAATACTGACCCTGCTACAGCGCGCCCCTGCAGTAGCAAAGCAGCAGCAGCAGGAAAGACTGGCCCCTGCCGCAACAGGATTCAAGTCAAAACAGAAGATAAATAGATAGATAGATAGATAGATAGATAGATAGATAGACAGATAGATAGATAGATAGATAGATAGATAGATAGATAGATAGATAGATAGATAGATAGATAGATAGACAGATAAATATATAAATAGATAGATAGATACACAGATAGATAGATAGATAGATAGATAGATAGATAGATAGATAGATAGATAGATAGATAGAAAGATAAATAGATAGATAGATAGATAGATAGATAGATAGATAGATAGATCGATAGATAGATTGATAGAGAGATAGATAGATAAATAGATAGATAGATAGATAGATAGATAGATAGATAGATAGATAGATAACTAGATAGATAGATAGATAGATTAATCGATCGATCGATCAATAGATAGATAGATGGATATATATATATATATATTTATAGATAGATAGATAGATAGATAGATAGATAGATAGATAGATAAATAAATAGATAGATAGATAGATAGACAGACAGACAGACAGACAGACAGACAGACAGATAGATAGATAGATAGATAGATAGAAATAGATAGATAGATATATATATATATAGATAGATAGATAGATAGATAGATAGATTGATAGATAGATAGATAGATATATAGATAGATAGATAGATAGAGATAGATAGATAGATAGATAGATAGATAGATAGATAGATAGATAGATAGATAGATAGATAGATAGATAGATAGATAGATAGATAGATAGATAGATAGATAGATAGATAGATAGATAAATAGATAGATAGATAGGGATCAACAATCATAACGGTATTCGTGGAGCAGTGAATTTGGTATACACGATTAATTGCGTTGGGGGGGGGAAGATACCACAATTCGATCATCACGTGATGCATAAATCGACTTATAAGATACCATAAAATTTGCCCAGAATGTGCATTGTTTTGCCCTGATATATAAAAATTGACTCATATGGTGTTTAACTTAACTTGAGGCTAGATTGCTATTGATTTTAGGGTTAGAGGCTTGGTTAAGGCGGATGTTGTAATATCCTGTTCTTCTTTTACTTAAATGTGGCGTGGTTTAGTCATAAGGATATTATAGCTGGCGTGTCGCCATACGTCATTGCTGGATTTTCTATTGCCTGTAGGTCCTCTAGCAATTCATTGGCTGAAGGCAGAATATGGATGTAGATTTAGCGATTATCTAGGGAGGTCTTCTCTCTGCTGGGCAAGGCTATATAAGCAGGCTATTTTGGCAACAGAAAACCCTATTAACCTAGGAATCAGCTATGGGATAGTCACAGGTGCGATTTTGTACGCATTATTTTAACACTTCTTCGTTATAGCTAACTTTGCTAAGAAACGTGCAATATTGATTCATTAATATTACGAAGTAGGCATCCCGAATAAAATCATAATTGTACGTAGTATAGTTCTCTCCTAGAAACAATGTTGTACTTTTTCAGAAACGATCTATATGTGTTTTAGCAATAAAAATATGAAGTATATATATAATCAGAAAAAAAACGTTTATTATGTATTTCTGATAATATGTCTCGTATTGTTCAGTGACTTGCACTTGTATTTTCAGGTGGTTATGGCACTTGCGATGTCACGTGAGGTGACATTTTCGTATTAATTTTTTTTCTAGGCCTTGGGTTTGGCTGTCGCTAGCACTCCATGTGTTATCATGGTCGGGAAGGTATTTCAACAAGTGGCTTCTTACCTGCAAAGCAGCGGTGGCTTTGCAGCTGGAGAGGGCCTGGGTGACTTGTTCTGTTCCATATCATTTTCGAAAAGCCCTAATCGAGGGATACGCAGTGGCCAGGTTTCTAATTGCCTTAATAACGGGCTATCTGTCTAAAAACATTGTACTGTGCGGGTTATAATGGAGGCCCTTAAAAGCTAAAGAAGTATAATGAAGATGTAGCTTAATTTGGCGATGTCAAAGATATAAAAATGCTGCTGTTCGCTCTCAAGCATGGTCTGCTGGAACGTCGTGTTATCATAGTAAATGCATTTATGCGTAGCTGATTTACTGCTGTGAGCGCGCGCAATCGAAACGCTTGAGAAAGGGCATTTATCTTATGACTATTATGGGAATAGCGAACATAGCAGGACATCGCGCTTTGCTGGCTGACGGTGTTTTGTCGCGAAAGTGGCGCCGTTGATACGAAACTTGTGCCTGTATACGATTACCGATTTACAATATAACGGTGTAGTTATGATGCTGTTTAATATGGAGAATCTTTTACGCTTTTCTTGTTTCATGGAATCGTTTTATCTTTTTGGCCTGGGGATTCGTTGGATGCGGCCTGGCGAATGTTGTTATTGAATGTTGCTTTGGGATGGATGTTTTTAATACACAGTCTGCTTTGGTTACCCAGATGGCATCCCAGGGCGATCCGGTAATGCATCATTGGACTTGCCTATGCAGTATTGACACTTGAGAGGAGGCCCTGGTGAATGGTATGTTAGAATGTGTATGTAGATTGTTTCGTTTTCTAATTTTGTAGTTTTGTAATGACTGTTTGCATGTAAATGTAAATTCCTGCTGCTGCTGCTCTCTCTCTTCCCGCGGGACGAACGAGAAGGTGTCCGAGGGGTGGGAACACGTCTGGGCCGCCGAGAAGCATACGTTGTGGTCGGCGCAACAACACAGCAGAGAGTAAGTTAGGAGAGTCATCTCTCCCATCTCTCTCTCTCTCTCTCTCGTCTCTCATCCTCGCTCGTCTTCTCTCTCCTCTCTCCCTTTCTGCTTGAATGTAATGTTCTGCTGATTGAATATAAGTATACCAGAGAATTTTTATCACATAGCGTGAAAGAAAGTCTCTAAGGATATGTAGGTATAAGTACGTAACATCTCTCTTTGCATGTATATAGTATCAAAAACGATCAAACTGCACACATTTTCAGTAGTGATGTATTTTTGGTAATGCTATATGCCGTATAGATAGGTGGCTAATTCAGTGGCAATTTTGGCATGATTCGTGTAGACAAGTGAATATATATATATATATATATATATATATATATATATATATAATATACATATATATATATATAATGTATATATATATATAGATAGATTATATCAGAATAAGATAGATAGATAGATATATAGGTATTATAGATAATATAAGATATATAGATATATATAATATAGGATAGATAGCTAAGATAGATAGATAGATAGATAGGATAGATAGAATAGATAGATTACATAGATGATAGATAGATAGTAGATAGATAGATAGATAGATAGATAGATACGAATAGATAGATAGATAATAGATAGATAGATAGATAGATAGATAAATATATCAGATAAGAATAAAGATAGAATAGATAGAATTCAGATTTCAGATTCAGATATTCATTTATTTTGCACTTTTCATTCATTTGGTACAGACAATTTCAGATAGTAGTAAAAAAGGGAGAGAAATAAATAATATTATAGAATCGAATAGGTTTAAGGTGAATGTGCGTAGTGGTCAAAGTAGCAATAAGCTTTCGAGTTGACCACTACCATAGGTAATAAAAAGTCTGAGGGAAAAGTACAATTAAACTAAATATAGGAAATAAGCAAATATAGGAAATAAGAGAGAAACAAAATATATACATACATACATATATGGAACAGTATCTAGAACAAAAATACAATTGATCTAATAAAGTAACAAGAACAAGAAAGCAATTATAATATAATATATAACTAATTTCTAATGGCCCTAAATAACATACACTAATTTAATTGAACATTTCTGGTTGTCTACGTACAAAAAATATAAAAAATATATATACATATATACATATATATGGAACAGTAGAACAAAAAATACAATTGAGGTAATAAGTACAAGAACAAGAAAGCATTTATATTATAATATATAACTAATTTCTAATGGTCCTAAATAACATACACTAATTTAATTGAACATTTCTGGCTGTCTACGTACAAAAAAAATATTAACATATTACAATATATAGTGAACAGTAGAACAAAAATCACAATTGATGTAA